ACTTTTTTATCCCATACATTGTGTTTTTTCACTTTCAATTCTAATCTTCAGAGAGCAGACATTTTCCCCTTCTCTCTGAACCTCTTGGAATCTCATTTGAAAATAGAGTAAATATAACACTTATTAAGGAACTTATATATCTTTGTAACTGGCATCAGTGTCCTGTGAAAAAAGATGTAAGGCAGAATTGTAATGATAGAATAGCTGCATGCTGAACCAAAACCTTCTCTCACATGCATTTTCCTTTCTCATGCTGTAAGCGATGTGTGCTTGTGTTGGTCAAAAGGTTACATGATGTCAGTACGGGAGAAGAGTCCTGAATGACTCCTTGTCCATATCTGGGCTGATGGGAAATTCCAGAATTGGGTCACCAGCAACAATGCTATCCACAGTAGTGTAGTATATATTAATTTCACTGAACTTTTATTAACACTTAGACTGCTTCATTTTATTAGCATTTAAAAATACTATCCTTTGAAGAAAGGCACTACCAAAGTGAGTATTCTGGTGTATATAGACAGATGTTTGAAAAATGGTAAAATTAAGAAAATGGCAATACATTTTGATAAGCTGTTTATTATATTTAGCCCATACCATTAAGCTTTTAAAATGCGTTCATTTCTAAAATAATAACACTCAAAGTTCTTTTATAAAGTAAAGAATATGAATTTATCTGCTGCTAAGGTAGGGGGAGGAACATGCAATAAACACATGAATCTTTTATTTTCTATCACTAAACTAGTTCTTGAACAAGGCCTCTATGCTCAATGTATTTACATAAGAGTTGGATTTATTTACAGTCAATAAATGCAAGTGCCTACTGTGCTTTCAGCAGCCAACTGCTAAATTGGCTAGAAATATTTAATGAACAATATTGGGAAAACAGGTTTGCTAAACTGCATCACAACAGACATAGATACATTACAGGAAATGTTGAAGGGATTTCCTTTGCATTTATCACCAATCCTTAGTTACTCAACAGAGAGTGCTAGTATTGTGGCAAAAGTACAATTATTTGTATAACTTTACTTACTTGACTTACTGTGTGTGAAGTTTCCATACAGTAAAAATGACTTCTGATTTCTATTGACAACATTGCAATTTAAAACAAGTTAAATGCACTTGGGCCTTACTGAAGCCAGTGGTACAACTGGGTGTTTGTTTACAATCCCAAAAGCTCAAATGGCCATATGGAAAGTCTCCATGCCAAAATTGCTCTTCATTTCAGTGAAGAAAACTGGCTATGCATTTGGACATGCATTTATGCTCCATCTAGCCTAATGAATGATTGTCTGTGACTTCAAGGAGCATCTTCTGAACATCAGCATACACAGAGAAAATCTATTTCCTTGACACCTTCAACATATTAAGATATTCTTAAAACTAATTGCTGAGTTGTAAAAAGCTTCTGCCTTTAAAATCCACAAATTATCTACTAAGCATAACCCTTTTCTAAAAAAATAAAAAATAGAGTTATTGCCACAGCATCTGTTAAAATATTAATAACAAACCCTAAAAGAGTATGGAGAGCCAGATTGGTGTAGTGATTAAAGCACCAGACTAGAAACCAGGAGGCCCTGAGTTCTAGTCCCGCCTTAAGCACGAAGCCAGCTGGGTTACTTTGGGCCAGTCACTCTCTCTCAGCCCTAGGAAGGAAGCAATGGCAAACCACTTACCAAAAACCTTGCCAAATAAACTGCAGGGACTTGTCCAGGCAGTTGCCAGGAGTCAAAAACTGACTTGAAGGTGCGCACACACACACACATACATGAAGAGTAGGAGAAAAAAAATGTTGAGAATTAATGTACATTAACTCTGAATCTCTCCTAAGAAAGTTGAATTGGTCACCCATGCAGTTTTTAAAATCTGGTGCTAAGTTTTAAAAACAAAGCCAAATCACATTTATAAACCAGGATGGCTTCTCTTCCAGGTTACTGTGGCTAGGAAAACAGCAGTCTGCATTTTGTTTTACAACTATCACATCATCTACAAAATACCTCTAGGTGTAACTGAGAGAATCCCTGTTTTTAGGTTTGACTATGGGGATAGTTTTGGACTAATACTGTCTAAAGGTACCTTGTATATGACACAGGAAGCCTATAGCAAACTTCCATCCCTACGGAACATGAGAAGAGACAATAGATATTAACTTAAGTTCTAGCAAATACTGTCATAATTTCAGGTTGCCCGAGTTTTCTTTTTAGGATTGTTGAGAAATGATGGATGAAACAACAAACAGTTGAACCCACATTTTTAAAAATTTACCCCCATTGTTATGCAAAATACATGTATTTTTGGTAGGGGATAATGGAAGCAAATAGAAATTCAGCAGCTTGTATATTAAAAGTGTAATAGCAATTCCAATTTCAGAGGTATATACTACCACTTTTTTCTAATGTAGCATCCTGCAATTGCATGGCTAAATGCAAAATTCTCCAATTAAGGGAGGACTGTTGGACAAAAGAGGCCCTAAGGACAACAACAAACTCCATAATATTAATTTACTGTTTATGGACCAAAATGTGGGCTTAGTAACAAAGGAGCAATAAGTAATGGGATCCCTCCACAACCCTTCTTATGATGACCATGTCTTGTATGATCCCAAAGGCAAATTGTTTGAGCAACCACTGACAATCCAGAATGAAAAAGCCCCATTCCTTGCCTAATTCTTTACTAGTAATTCTCAACTTGTTTTCAGATTTCCTTTTGCCACCTAGTGACTGGAATCATTTTGCTTTGAATGGAAAGAGTTTTTTTTCAAGGTTAGTAAGCATGCTGAAAAATCCCTCGCAGTGCCTAGCTGACCTTGGCTGGGTGATCTAGAAAGAGCTGGATATGGATAGCTAGTCCCCAGGAGTTGTTCTAGACTTGTTGGAATCTTTACCTTTTGCTTCTTAAGCTATTACTGGGAGAGGGGCTTTTTAGATGACCGCCAAGTTGTGATAGAAGTTACTTTTCATCTCTCTTGAAGAAAAGGTGCTGCCATGTCCTTCATTAGATATGTTTATGTTGCATACAAACCTCTTGAGGCCAAACACTCTTATTAAAATTGGTTGGTTCCAATATAGAATGGAACATGGCTTCTGAATCTTTAACAACTAACGATAAAGGAGGAGATTGGTAAGCACAGCAGTCTTGTCATTGCGGCACATCAGTGGTAGAAGCTGTATCTACTGGTTTTTATACGTTTAGGTCACAGAAGTCATCGGGATTTGAACCTGGCAAATTCTTGGCCCGATCATTTCTTTTAAGGCATCATGTGAGTTCTTACCTTGGGCTAATGTTACTGTGTTGCAAAATCATTCATAAAGTAACTGGTCTATTCCTAAGAAATCTACTTTGTGGAACATGTATACAGCCATCTGAAATGAGCTGAAGGTGTCTATAGTCATTCAATGTACACTTGAGTGCATATCAGTCAAGCCCCAGCATCTCTAGCTAAAAGGATGAGGCAGCTGGTGGATATATGTGGGATACTATATCATAATATTATGTGACTAGATATGGGAATTCGCCTGCTTGCAAATGGATGAATGTGTTTTGTATGTCTTGATGCTGGATAAATCTTTTTTTTTTTTGAAAAACAAGGAAGGTCATTGGCAGATTAAATTTTACAAATTTTGCAAATGTTATATTATCATCTCAGAAGACCATTAACAGATCAGCATTTTCCACTTCTGGCAATTTGTTTTGTTTAGAAGAAGCAAGTGGAATGTCATAGAGGAGAATATTAGCATGACAATTCAAGGGAAAATGATAGCATCACCAAGTTAAAAGACACAGACACCTGTTAATAAAATCAAACTAATCCAAGAATGCATATAGTTTATTATCAGAAGTTAGAAACAAGGGGTATTTTTGACATTTGCCCACCTTCAACATTTTTCCACTGATTTTTACTTTCAGTATATTAAATACTAAATTAATGAATATGGGCATTTGGGCATCAATGGGATAAAAGTGTGAGGCCAAAAGGGATTTTTATACCATTCAAAACTGTGTGACAACTAACCTTACAGCCACGTTTTTTGGACCAACCTGGAATTACTTCTGTTATATAAATGACTCATAGGAGATCACTTCAAAAATTTAAGCAACAAATATATACAGAACAGAATACCTTGGTGTAGTACAGTTTCACGATGCAAGACAATATCTTGTCAAGAATGCTAATTCCAAAGCATAATTTTCACAAAGCACTCCATTAACTTTTCTCTTGACTGGTCATGCCTCTGTGGCTTAACATGCCCCCCCCCCTCAAAACAATATTCTGCCTAATTTCCTAGAATGCATCTTTTAGTCTCTTTTATTAAATTTGAAGTCGTATTTTGTGGACTGAGAAAGATTTCACCTCCATGACAAACAATACAAATATAGTAAACTGGAAGAGTAGAGACTCTACCTCCCTTTGAACATATTGACAATCCTGGTGGATCGACCAAGGACTATCTGCTGTCAGTAGTGGCCAGTTAGATAAAAGGCAGTTAAAGAGCAAGCCTTGTCCTTTTTAAAAAAATCCCTAGCACCTGATATTCAGAGGTATAATTTTCCTAAGCATGAAAGGGCTGTATAATTACCATCCCCAGAGCAGCTGCCTTAGATAACAGACAAACAGAAGACAATCAAATCTTTCACAGTTGTTGGAAACTGTGTACAGAGACACTCTTACAGCTGCATTCATTTTTGTGTGTATGATGATGTGAAACTACAACTGGGAAAACAAATGCAAGAATCTTTTTCTTACTCTTGGATGGTACACTCCACTCTTTCCTCAAATGAAAGCACTGCTAGATGTCAGAAGTGCCAAGGCAAGGTTATTGCCACCTTTTTGAAGCTGGTGAGCACCTTTAGAGTTTTGACAATATTGTGCAAAGCCGTTGTCCTGTTTACAGGGTGGTGGCGGTGGTGGCATCTTGCCGGTCACGAAAGCCACGACCCTGAAAGGCAACTGCTGAGATTAAAGGAAAAGTTATACAGCCAAGAACCTACATACAATATACTGACATCCAGTACCTTTCAGCTTTAATATCCTTTCGCACAAATAGACTGACAGAAACCAGGTACAAGGCAGAAGTACAAAACATCAAATCAAGTATTTTCTTTTGTTAAGAGAAATAAACGTGTATATACAAAAAACAAAACATCCAAGTAAAACACACATCACATACATCACACAAAGCCAGCAAATGTATATCTGCAGTACAGTTAACTTCCCTTATTACTGCCACTAGATGCTCATTACTACCTGCTCAGGTCCCCCTAAGAATTCCCTACCCCTCTCTTTCCACGGGTACAGTAGCTGGCTGTGCTTCAGCATGAAACACTGACCTGCAGTCAGCCATTTTTAACACTTTCTAAGCATGCCTCTGGTGCTCTTTGTAGTGCCCTGAAGCACTGCTTGAAATAAAGCATTCCAAACTATGCAATATAGATAATGTAGTAGAAAAAACGTCTCCCTTCTAAAACAAACAAACAAAATAACAATACAAACTAGCAGAGAGGAACACATACAGTGAAATAGTATTTTAAAGAATTTTGTACAGCACCATAGTACAGTTTAAGAGAGAGCACCAAGTTTTCTATTGCTAGAAGCGGTCCAGACTTTTTATGGAAGGTGAGTTTATAAAGGCACAGTCTTTTATGCTGAAAGAAACAAGATGCCTATCACATTACCATTGTAGGACACTGTGTTTATTTTGGAAGGAGAGTTCACAAATTCTCTCTGCTGTATATTTTAAAATAAGATGTTCCTCACACAGATGGCCTTGATGGAAATAACTTGCTATCTGTGCCCCACAGGAGGAAGACTGATGGGATCCAGAATTTCTTCACAGAATTATACATTTTTATCAGTATACATCAAGAGTCCTGTACATTTTATGACATACATTCTGTAGAGAACATCTACAGAAAGCTTTGGAAAGTAAATTTCCTAAATGCTAAATATATGACAGTCATCTCTTTCTGGGAATCCATTTTAAATTACTGCTATGACCAGTATTTTCACCAACACAGGTCAGAGGATTTCACTTTGTAATACACCACCAAAAATGTGGTATCGCTATATGCATTTTCCACCCAGTCCTTGAGGCAAACTGCCCAATCACAGCAAATATGCAGCAACTGCCAGATAGAGACCATGAAATTATGCCCACGTGGTGGTTGTTAAGATGAAGACTCAATTCAGATTAATATATCTAACAAATTAAAGGGCAAGCTCCCTTGGTCAGTGGACCCTCAATTTCTATGGCAGGTTATTCTGATAACAAGTTACTCAAACTATTTTATGGGAATTGATATTCATACAACTACTTTAATAGGTATTTAACATAAAGACACAACAGATTCAGCAGATTAATATGCATTATTTTTTCCTTTCAAAAAGTTGCATTATTCCCCATAGAACTCCTTACAGCATGTATCTCTGAATGTCAGAGACGTGCAGTTCTCTTTCGCATTAAGTAATATTTAGTTCTACAGTATCTGTGCAGGAAATCTTTAAATGCCACATCCTTTGGAAACTGTGTGGATCAGTTTTCAGAGGTCAGCCACATTTGTTGCTTTTAAGCAAAAGATTAAACATCTTGTGGTGCCCAACAAAGTGTGAATAAAGTGACAATCTGATTCAAAATCTTACGCTGCAATAAATGTGTTTTATCTTTCAATGCTGCAAGATATTTTTGTGCAAATCAGCTGAACAAAGCTGAGGAGAAGAAAGGGAGTGGGGATCTAAAGAAGACTGGAAGGCAAGGTACAATTTCACTCATGGCATTTTGGCGCGATGGATTGGAGGAAAGTCACATGCTAAGTATTGGCACTAATCTTTATAAAAACCAAACAACACTTTTTTGGTGATACTGTGGAATCTGCAAGAAAGGTCTGTTGTTTTGTGTTTCTATGGTTGCTGGTTTAAAACCTTCTGAAATCTTGCCTAGCTATAAAAGAAAAGATCCAGTGGCAGAGCTATCTTGAGTTGGCTACAGTGTGTTGAAATTGAACAAGTGAGCATAAATGTTGTCCAGAGTGATTCTGACAATAACTAAAATTGTAGGTCACTAAATATAATTGCATTATTTTCCTTTATTTGTATTAACTTTCACTTTAATTAAACAATTTCATCTTTGTAGTCTGTTTTAGACTCACGTATTCTGAATACCTCACTTCCTTAAATAACCCCAGTCTACAATATGTCTAACTTTTATTTACAATTTTATATAAAAAGATATTTCTTAAAGAGCATTAAGTACTTGTTTGGGAGGGAACTATAACCTATGCAAAACATTGCAGCTTGTTTGGGCAGGTTGCAAAATACATTAAAGATAAAAATAAAAGTGATTTGCCAGTATTGGAAAAGCAGAAAGTATACATGTATTAAATATAATTTTTAAGTATCCTGACTGTATCATCAGTTTTAAATGTAAATCAATCATAGCACAATATTGTATTGGAGGAAAATAGGTTTTACAAAATTGAAAAACTGTAAAAAGTCAGGAATTATATAGCCAGTCTGTAAACCACCAATGAAGCGAACAAGATATGCCTGCTTTCTTCAACTACATCTGCTCTAGTTCCTCAGAAAGGGACTGTCCTTCCTAACTCCCACAAATGACATTGATCCAGCTGAAGTATGAACCTGAGAATTAGGCCCGCACATTCTCTTACAACATCCCATGTCTGCATTGAATAAATTAAGGCAAATTAGCCCACTATGTGTACCTATATATGTGGTGGGGACAATACTCTTTATGGCAAGCTGTGCCTATGTTTGAAAACAATTTAACTGAATGTGTAATTTGGAAATATAATTTAATAAAATGATTGAAGTAACTCAAAGTAAAGGTTCTTTAAAAAGGCCCTTATTTAACAGTATCACTCTTTATATATTAGGATATGAGTATGTGTCTGAGCATGTGCTCCTCTGAGTAGGCAAGAGATAAACATGTCACTCTTTATTCAACTTGGCTCTTGCTATAGAAGCCTTTCCAGTACCTTAATCTTTGATTCTGATTTATCTGTATGTTGTTGTGATAACTATCACCCTACGAGAGTAGGAAAATCACTGTACATATTGATGAAACAGCAAAGATTTTGTTTTTCATTTTTTTTTCATCCATGTGATCTTGGTTCTTCAAAAGGAGCACTAGCCCATTTCCTGCTTGTTGGGGTAAGTTCATACCTGTATGGTGATTTTATGGATATGAAGCAGGAATCATTGATCAAACATCCCAGGCTAAGCTTTCATGTTACCTGACATCATTTCAAGCAAAATGCTTTTGCAACAGAGGCCATTTTACATTTCCAACTGTGTGTTCAGTTTGCAAGTGATAATTCATGGAGTAAACCCATCTTGAAAGACTTACTGAAAAGCCTGTTCCAAAGTCTTGCATTTGAACCAGTTAAAGCCTACTGAGATCTTTATTTTGCTGCAAATCACCAATACTCTCATAGTCATTCTCTTGTGAGAGGACTGTTTGAGTGTTGCTAGAGATCAACACATTTCTTTCCTCCTCACGACTGAGAGTCTGAATTGCTTCATAGTCTGGTTCCAAGTCCCCATTTAGAAGTATTGTTGACTGAGGCATATCAGTAAGGTTTGGATTACTTTCCAAGTCCTTCACACTGGCATAGAGGCCACTGCAAATAGATGGTGACTTCTGAGGTACAATTTCAGGAATACAGGTATAAGTTGATTCCAAGTCTCTAGACGGTTGTCCTGTTTTATTTATAGAAGAATACATTGCTGAAATCTATGAAGGAAGGAAATATAGTAATTGCATCTAAACATAGCAAATATTTTTGTCATGGTATTGCTTTAACATTCAATGAATAATATAGTAATGCAGGTAGTCTATTCCAATGTAAGACATTTGGTCCTATGAAACATAGCCTATTAAGCTGAAAATGAGAATGGTAACTGTTTATGTAGCACCCCTCGAGAGATCACATTTTTACAGTTCATCTGTAATCACACAAGTTTTCCATTATGACATTTGAAAAAAGGGAAGGGACTTCTGCTCAGATGGCTTGTTTTTGGTACAATAAACATCTCTATTGGGCCGACATCATGGTATATGAACAGGACTCAAAGAAATATAACTGCTCTCCAAAGTGGGAAAGCATACCTAGTTCAATGCTTGTATGTGTTTACCACTAAGAACTGCAAGGCATGTTAAGTTTACCATATTGTTGAAAAGCAATAGTCAGTAAATATTAAATGTTGCTTACATTCAGAAAAGGGGTACATAAATGTTCCACAGCATGGAGTTCAATCCAATGTACAGTGCTCTGGCTGAGGGTTTGGAGAACTTATTGACTATTCTGAACAGCATTACTTGACTGAAGCATATGTACTCCAACTCTATATTAGAACCAAATAGCCCTACGAAAGCCATGATGGAAAGTGGGACATTTCTGTAAAATACTCCATTTAAAAACAATATATGCGGAATATGTCCATCTACGTAACACCAAGAGCCCCTGGTTAGATTACAAAGATGACAGATGAACATAATCAATGCTATTTTTTAACTATGGTTTAAAACTTAAAACTATGAGAAAACCTGGCCATGCTGATTTGTTTAGCAAACCATAATTAAAACAATCCATCTCAGAACTCTATAATTGTGTTTCAATGTACTTCATTGATATTTTATCTCTTATTTGGAAGGAAAACAGTTATAAAAGCAATGCATTTATATAATCACTAATATATTGAAGCAAGATGTTTACAAGGATGATGGTGATCATTCTATTTCAAATATGTTCAATTAATAGAATTTAATAGCTTCCCTTCTTCATGTAGAAGGCATTTTTGTTCACACAATAAAGATGTTTTCTGATTCAGATACAAATCCTTTTATCATATTATACTCCATTCCAAAAGTTCTTCTGAGCCCTGACAGTTTTTATCATGTGACATGAAGGGATGGAGTGAGAAGGAAGGGCCAAGTACAATTCTATGTGTGCAGTTTTCAGATATTTATATGGGCCTACATCTGTATCAGTGTTGGCACTTCTTAAATTGCCAAGAAGCAAGCCCCTAATGATAGCTAGTGACACAAAATAGTTCCAGTATGAAAGGCTGAAACTGATACTGGAAACTGAACTGGAGGCATCTAGAAAAAATAATTACATAATCCAGTTTGCATTTGAACCGCTATTATCAGGCCTTCTTAATCATAGAACACTTAACAGTGGTTTAATCAGGATTTTTTTCCTGAATACATTTCATGCAAGAGAAACTTACCTCATCTTCTGTAAGAGATGGGTCATCTTCTCGAGATTTATAAATCAATGAACTAAGCCTCTGAAAAAAGATAGAAAATAAACCTTATTTAAAAGATAATGCCTTCCACAAACAAAGAAACAAAGAAACAATCTTTCTTTCTTTCTTTCTTTCTTTCTTTCTTTCTTTCTTTCTTTCTTTC